TTTTGAGACAGGGTCTCACTCTGTCACCCAGGCAAGAGTGCAGTGGCATGATCTTGGCTCACTGCAGCCTCGAACTCCCAGGCACAGGCACTCCTTCCACCTCAGCCTCCCTAGTAGCTGGGACTACAGGGGCACACCATCAGGCCCCGCTAATTTCAGGGGGTATTTCTGTAGTAGAGTCAGGGTTTGGTCATGTTGCCTAGGCTGGTCTCGAACTCCTGGGCTTAAGCAATCTGCCCACCTTGGACTCTCAAAAGTGCTGGCCTTACAGGTGTGAGCCATCATGGCTGGCTCTCTTCTTTTCCTTTCTTGTGTTTTCTTTTCTTTCTTTCTTTTCTCTTTCTTTCCTTCTCTTTCTCTCTTTCTTTATTTTTTACTTTCTTTTCCTTCCTTCCTTCTCTCTCTCTCTCTCTCTCTCTCTCTCTCTCTCTCTCGCTCTCGCTCTCTCTTTTATTTTTCAAGTTGTATTGCCCATTTGAACATAGAATTTGGAAGGCAGGGCCCATTTCACAGCATCTTGCTTGATAAAGAACTTCATATTGGTTAATCCATGTGTGTTTTGGCTGCTTAAGGAGATTATAAGCAGAAGTGGTGAAGTAACTTCATACAGTAAATGATACAGGAATTTTTAAAATAACTAAATTGGCTTATCTCAGTACCAATGGTTATCATGCAGGATAAATAGTATAAATAAAAAACATAAATTCAAATTGGTAGATGTCCAGCAAAATTGGGGAAAACCATAAGCTATACTTCATCACAGCTTAGAAGGTACTACAGGTTCTTTCTGCCCAGCTATACTCATTAAAAAGAATATGATCACTAAGAAAATAATTATACAATTGGACAGAAAAAATAGGATAGAAAAATGAAAGAATGGCTAATTTAAAAATATATCAGACAGTACTTACTTTCTTTTAATCATTTTAACAACAGAATGTAAATAATCTTCATTACTCTAAAAATGAGAAAAAATATTTTACTGAAACTAAGCATGTCTCATAGTTCTATTAATACAACTCTTTTTGCTACATATAAATCTTATTTATGCATGAAATGTTATGATGTACTAATAATTTCTAGTGTTTTTACTTTCTATTAAAAGATTTAAAAATATTTGTGTTCTTAAAAATCTGACTTGAATACAGGAAATATTTCATTTTTTTCCCTTTGCCACTATATGAAATATTACAATACAAAATTTACCCATAAAATTATATACCCTTTAGATATAGAAGATTACATTAAATCTTATATACCCTTTAGATATATGATTGCATAAAATAAATCTTATATATCTAAAGATGTTTTGATCTAAAAATGGTCATCTAGGAATGGCTTATTTCAAAGAACTACTCTTTTTGAAAATACTCTTCATTTCCTGAGTATTATATGATAATAAGCTTACTTCAGAATTACATCATATTTCTCTAGACAGTATTACTCAGCTTGATTCCCATTGGTTTTCCTGACAATAAACTTTGTGGACCTGCTCTTCATTGAACACTGTGCTAGATTAGATGACAGACTCCTGCAAAAAGCTTTTGATGGTTTACCCTCTTGGGATAAGTTTTTTAAAAAATAACATGGCATTTACAAGATGTAGCCTAGGGCCTATAAGCATTTCCAATACACAATTTTGAAAATATTTTGAACAATGACAGTTCTATTGTTGAATCAGAGTACTCTGAAAGGCAACTCTGAATGTATATACTCAGGTTTTTTGTTTAAAAATATCAGACATGATGTAGATAAATCTATTTTATACTGGAGGCTCTTAACCATAAATTGAATCACTGGCTATTTGTCGTAAATTGAAACATATTATATTTTAAACACAGCATCGAAGTCCTATTTCATAAGCATTCTATATTCCATTTAAAAATCTTCCTCCAATATTTTATTATGAATCTAAGTATTTTAGACAGACATGCATTGTGCTAACAGCAAAGAAATGAAGATTGTAATATATAAAATAAGGAAATAGGATGAAAATTTTGGAGCTTGTGTGCATGCTTTCTTTTAATACTAAGAAATTAAACTGGGATACAATGACTTTAGTCTTTCATTTCTATTTTTCTGATAGTTCTTCTAATACTTGTTTGATTTAGAGTTTTTTCTGCTTTCAAAGGCATCTTTATTATACAAAATTCAAGCAATAACTAAAAGAATAAAGAAAAGATAACAAAAATTCCTCTTAATCCCAGCATTCAGAGATACCCATTTATATTAATGATAAATTTATATCATTCCAAAGTTTGCTCATTTTCCTTTTTCTTCATACATTTCATTTGTTTCTATATCTTTTTCCCCTCCCTCCATCTTTTCCTTCCTTCCTTCATTCCTGTTTTACATAGATAACATTATGTTAAACATGATGCTTTACTTAACAACAGGACGTGAACATCACTTTATATCAGTGAGTATAGATATTCATTCTTCTTTCAATGCCTACAGAGTATTGCATTGCAGAGATATATAACAAGGTATTTTATCAGCCTCTTATGAATAGATATTTTGGTTGTTTCTAATATTATGCTTTCATAAGACAACAGTGCACTGAAAATCCTTGAAATAATTATTTATTGAGCACTCTGTATCACGCATGATTCTAAGTACTTTAAATATATTAGCTAATTTCATCCTTCAACAACCCTGTGATATAGACAATATGATTATCAGAATTTTAGCGATAAAGGAAAATAATGTATAGAGAAGTTAAGTAAGTTGCTCACGTTCACTGGTTGGGAAGCAGAGAAGCTGGAGTTTTAACCTTGGTCATCTAAATCCGGAGTCTGTTCTCAACTTCCATACTATACTGCCATATTTTTACTGGTTTTTGTTCGTTTTTTGAAACAGGGTCTTGCTCTAGAGCTCAGTTTACCACAGGCCCTATCTCCTGGGCTCTAATGATCCTCCTGCTGCAACCTCTCAAGTAACTGGGACTACAAGTGCACACCGTCAGATCTAGCTGTTAATTTTTTAAAGTAGAGATGGTGGTCTCACTGTGTTGCCCAGGCTGATCTCAGACTCCTGAGCTCAAGTGATCTTCCTGCCTCAGTATCCCAAAGTGCTTGGATTACAGTTGTGACGCACCATGCCCAACCATTTTTACTGTTTTTATACACTTGCCTGATTATTTCCTTAGGATAAGTTCCCAGAATTTGAATTTCTGAGCCAAAGTATATATACATTTAAATTTAACACAGGTTGCCAAATTCTCTCCAAAAAGTCTAAGGTGCTAATATTTACATAGTACTTTACAGTTATAAATGATGTTGGGAACAAAGTGAAAATCTTTGGAGTCATTACAGAGACCTAGGCTTGAATCTGCTCTATTAATTACTGGGCAAGTTACTCGCCTTCTTTAACTTCTAGGTCCATCATCCCTAAAATCAAGACAGTAATATCTACTTCACAGGGATGTAGTACAGGTTATAAATGTCCATAAAAATCATCTACAATCCCTCAAGCATAAGAAAGTCTCTCAATTAATCATAGCTGTTGTTACTTTATACAAATTATCTCTTGATTCATATACAAACCTCCTAGTGGACTCAGCACATTTTATTACTAGCATCGCTTTTAATAATTTTAATTCTGTTTGTAAATACAACTTCTGAGCCACATAGTAGGCAGGGATTCTATATTAAATGCAATTCAAATTTAGCAATCTTATATTTCCCACATGAAGCTATTATGTTGTCTTTTTAGATTTACATATTTAATTTCTTCTCAGCAGTATTGAATAAGTACTAAGTATATTGTCTGGTACCCAAAAAAGGCATCTATGGGTTGCTTTTTAAAATTAAGAAAACAGTTTTCAACATGGTACAATGATTATTACCATTGAGGAAGAGAATTTGGAGACAATAGGGTGAAAGTAAGGAGAGCTCATTATTTTGTATACATACATCTGCGATAGAGACAATCACTACAGAATCCTTCTCTTCGGAAAGCGTCATCCTGGAGATAACAGAGGTCAGCGTCTGTTTCAGGTAACTATAATTTCCTCTGTTAACAGTGGAAATACCCAGCGCAAAAGAAACTGCAGACACAGGAGTACGAAATCGTCATTCCAAACCGCAGTGAAAAACATAGTTTAGCATTCATTCTGTGCTTATATCTATGTTTGGGTTAGTCTTACGGTAATAAAATGAGTGTTTGAGACTGTATTACAAAAATAATCCAAACTATGTTAATTTTTATCAGATACCTCATTTTCTTTTTAAGGAAATTTGCAGTGGATTGTTAGTAAAAGCACTAAATAGACTCCAAGATGTTCTCATGTTGAAACATTTTGGTGTAGCGAAAATAAAACTAACCACTTTCCACTTATTATAGCTTCATCTAACTGGATATAAAATGTCACATGTTGGAGAATCTCTTCTTATCCTAATGAGACACTGGAACCCAAAAGAGGAAAAAATTATTATCAAATATTTTCATCTGTGAAAAATGTATTAAGTAATTTCTAATGATTTGATGGCATGAATCCTTGCCCCTAAGTAACTTTTGTTGCTCAAGAATGGCTGGAGCACTAGGGCTCCAAGAGGTACACATCTTGGCTCTACAGGTACAGTCAAGATGGAGGGTACCAATCTTAACTATACCGGTACCTGGCTGTAGGGGCTTAGGCAAGGTACAAAAACTCTCCAGCCTTATGTCTCCATCTTTAAGATAGGGATAAGGATTTCTAGAATGGCTAAGTGAGAAACCCAGGAAAAGCGATGGAACTTTGGAGGGAAGAGCAGGAATCAGTGTTTCCATGATTGCTATTGAGTTTGAACATATTTTCACATGTTTATTGGCTTTTTTTTTTTTTTTTGAGGTGGAGTCTTACTCTGTCACCAAGGCTGGAGTGCAATGGCACGATCTCAGCTCACTGCAACCTCCACCTCCTGGGTTCAGACTATTCTCCTACCTCAGCCTCCCAAATAGCTGGGATTACAGGCATGCACCACCATGGCCGGCTAACTTTTGTATTTTTAGTAGAGAAAGAATTTCACCATATTGGCCAGGCTGGTCTCAAATTCCTGACCTCAAGTGATCCGCTCACCTCAGCCTCACAAAGTGCTGGGATTACAGGCATGAGCCACTGTGCCCAGCTGCTTATTGGCTTTTGGATATTCTGTTTTGTAAAAGCCTTGTGTAAGCTCTTGCCCATTTCTCTAATGAATTGTCTGCATTTTTCTTACTGATTTTATTGATGCTCTTTATATATTCTGAATATAAGCCCCTCGTCAGTTATATGTATTGTTAAATATCATCTCCAACTCTTGGTTCTCGGTTCTCTTTTCAAGATTTTGCCCCTTGATGAAGGGAAATTCTTAATTTTAATGTAGTCCAATTTGTAAACCATTTTCTTTATTGTTTGGGTTTTGTGGGTCTTGTTGAGAAATTTTTGCTTATTTTCAGGTCATAAAGACATTCTCTTGTGTTATTTTCTAGATGGTTTATAGTTTGCCTTTCATATTTAGAGCTGCAATCCACCTGGAATTGATTTTTATGGATAGGGTGAGGCAGGAATCAAGTTTCAAGCTGAAAGATACAGTATAAAGGCAATTCCTCGAATGGCTTCCTATGCCTTACAATGCATTTATAAGAGTTTAAAAGGCCCTTACTGAGCTGGTCCTGATACAACCCTTTGTTTCAACTACCCACGCTTTTCAAATTGACCAAATACTACTCTCACCTGGAAGCCTTTGCATACGCCATTCTTTTTGCCTAGAACAATCTTCTTCCTCTAGTTTCCTTTAATAATTCTACTTATTCCTCAGGGTTCAACTAAATATTAGTCATTCTGATCACAAATTGATACTTAACCCTTTCTAATTAGGTTGATTTCACCAGCTATACAGTCTTATCTTATCTTTCATAATACTCATCACCCCTTCTGTTGTTACTCATTCCTGTCTAGAATGTCAATTTGGTAATAGCAGGGACACCTTCACATGTGCTTACATTATAAATCCAGCACTAATATAATGACTGACGCATGGTGCTGACAATAAGCTGGGGTTGGATGAATAAATAAATGGCCAGGCCCCTTCATTATTTGGCCTGTTTCCATGGTCTTGCTACTAATACTCTCCAGCCCCCATTGTGCATGGCAAGACACACATCCTTTCTAGGCTTTCTTGCTGTCAGACTTTTGCACATTTTTTTTTCCTCTATCTGGACGACCATCCTCTACTTTCCAGTGTCCACCACCTACCTTTTTCCTACTTAGTCTATTCCAGTTATTCTACCCTTCATGTTACTCATATGACACTTCTTCCAGAAAGCATAGCATAGAATTTTGGCTCCATCCTGGTATTTCCCTTATCACAGCACCAGTCACTTTCTATTATAATTATCTTATTATAACTTTCTATTATAATTACCTTATCATTTGTCTCTATGAAGGTGGGGTCTATGTCATGTTCACCCCATATCCCAGGATCTAAGAAGTGCCCATAACAGTGTAGAAGCTTATTAAATGAGGAGACATGGAGGAATTCACAGAGAAGTTGTCATTTAAGCTGAAAGTCATATTGGATAAGGGAGTCACATTACAAATCAGTATGGTTTGCCAAAGGGGGTATGTTCATTATAGGCAGTGATTAGCACATGCAGAATATATGAAGCTTGTCCTATCTGTTCTCAAAGAGCTTGGCCTATCTGTAAGAACTGCAAGTGGTTTTGGTTGCTGGAAAGGAGAGGCATGGCAGACACTGAGATTTGAAAGATTTAGCCTTTTGTGTATATACCCTGCCAAGGGTCTAACTTCATCTTATGTGCACTGAGAGTCTACTGATGAATTTCAAGCAGGAGTCAAGTATGATCAGTGATGAATTTTACTAACATATCTTCGAGGAAAGTATGAAAAATGGATTAACTTCAGTGATACTAAAATCAGGAGAGAAATTATAAATATATTTCCATAAACCAGGCAAAAAATGATGAGGGAACTCAACAAAATATAGTTATAGAGGGACTACAGAGAGCAGAAATTATCTGAGACTTATTCATAATACAGAATAAACAAAACCGATGATGGATTCCCCAGTAGGCCTTGTCACCAGCTTCAATCCTCTTACATATGTTTCATGTGTTAAGATTTTTTTTAGTTGCCTGTAACAGAATCTTCCTTAAATCAATTCTGGTAATTGAGAAAAGCCACCAAAAAGGCCTCAATAAATAAATAAATAAATACATTATGATTGGAGATCAGGAAATAGTTGGGGAATTATTAAATTATTCTGGATTTAACACGGCTCTGACAACTGGGTTATCTCAATCCTCCAGTCCCCTACACAAGGAAGTCTGTTGCTCCTCCCAACCACCAACGTGTCTCTCCCTCCTTCCTTTCACTCTGTGTCATGGGCTTCTACTTATATTTGCTGATGCTTATGCAAGGCTGTGCTTATTCTTGGTATCTAAGATCTGAGAGTTGCTATGCATTGTTTTTCTTGCATGTGTCTTTCAAGTTCTCCTCTTCCTACAAACCATAGCTTTTGTCTAGCATGTACTTTCTCATATATTCACACACATGTATGCATGTATATGTGTACATAGGTAAAGAGTTTTATAAGTATGAACTCAGAAAGTTTCTTAATGTCTCTAAGCCTCAGTTTTCTCAGGTGTAAAATAGAGATGACAATAATAGGCCCTACTGCATTGGATCGTGAAGATTAAATGAGATAATGTAAGAAAACATAGAACTCAGTAAGTGGAGCAGTCATCAGAGGCACGTGATACAAAACAATACTACTTATTCCCAAGGAACCGCCAAGAGCAGAGGTCAGCAAACTTTTTTTTTTTAAGTAAAGGGGCAGATAGTAAGCATTTTTGGTTGTTGGGTTACACCACCTCTGCTGCAACTACTCAACTCTGCCATTGGAGCACAAAAGCACACACAGACAACAAGTAAATGGATAAGCATAACTATTTCCCAACAAAACCACATCTTAAAACATGGAGCCCATGGGCCTGGCCTGGAGTGACTCACTCACCGGAATGAGTGAGGTTTAATGGGAATGGGAGGTATCCTGAGACTTAGCTTAATATTCCTGCTTTAAACTACAAAGCTGCTTCTTGTCTTGTATACCTGGTGAACCTGAACTCATTTGTCAAGGCTTACCTCAAACATCACCTGTTCCATAAAACTATTACTGACCTTGGTCTCCAGAAAGACTGGGAAATAGGAAAATAGCCAGGTAAGATTAGATTTGCCAAAACCAAGGAGAAAAGAGTTGTCAAACATTTGGCATATGCTTAATGTATATTTGACTTATATTACTTATTTTCAAAGCATTTGTTTAACACCAAATTTGAATTCAGGTCACCAAATGTTTAGAGAACTATTATTTTCTGCCACACAGTATACTGACTTCTGGTAATCCAAATTAATGCCAGATAGGTTGGTAGTTTGCATATCAATCTATGACATTAATGGATTACATCTTCAACCTTAAAAGTATGTCCCCAAAGATCAAAATATCTGTATTTAATTTTCCTATTATAAGTTTTCTTACCACCAGTTTTTCCTTTGCTGATGATTACGTTAGGATAAATTCTGCCTTCTTTCCTTAGTTGCGGAAAAAAGAACTTAAAGTCTTCAAATGTATTAGATACTGTTTCACTTTTATTTAATACGTCTGCTTTCTGCACAACTGAAAGAAAAAAAATAATGCTTCTGAGTAGATGACTATAGAGATTTTTCTCCCTCTGGAATAATTTTTTAAGAGGTGTTAATAAACTCATAGATTAATTTAGCATTCAACATATAAAAAATACTCTAAAATGTGAATCATCAAAATAATAATGTTAAAAATATAGCTCAACTATTATTGGTTCATATTTACTTATAAAGTAATATTTAATTTAAGCCTAGCATTAGAAGCTACACAGAGGACAATAGAAGCATCAGTTCCAAATGAAAGAAGAATAACTGAAACATGCTATAATTGGTTTACTTTGTTACTTTGATTAGTATCACTTTATTAAAGTTTGTTTCTTTATAAATTTGCTTTGTAGCCCCTAAAATTTAATGACTATATTTGTAACCTTCATTAGAGTTTGCCTCTACAATTTTGAAAAAGAAAACATTAGAGGACACACATTACCCAATTTTAATTCATAATACATAACAATGTAGTCAAAACAGTGTGATATTATATAAAAAAATAGATACATAGACAATGAAACAGACTACAGAATACAGAATAGGTTCACAAAAATGTGGTTGACTGACTTATGACAAAGTTGCAAAGGTAACTGAATGCAGAAAAGACAGTTGTTAAAGGTGCTTGAACACTTGGACATTCATGTGGAAAAAACTGAGCCTTGACCTGTTTTTCAAGCTGTTTATAAAAATTAGCTAAAAAATATTCATAGACATAAATGTGAAACATAAACCTATGAATTTTTTTTAAAAAACAAAGAGAAAACCTTCATGACCCTGAGGATAGGTAAAGAGATCTTAGATGATATATAACAATACAAAAAAATACATAAAAGAAAAATTCATAAATTGGACTTCATCAAAAATTAAAAATGCTTGCCCCCTGAAAGCATCATAAAGAGAAAGAAAGGGTGTCACCAATTGGAGGAAGGTATTTCCAAATCACATATCCATCTGATATGTATCCAGGATAATGTGTAGAACTCTCTCAAAACTCAGTGAGAAAACAAAATCACTCAATTGAAAAAACTGACAGGACAGGAGTTTGAGAACAGCCTGAGCAACATAGCAAGACGCCCATCTTCTGTTACACACACACACACACACACACATACACACATACACACACACACACACACACACACACAGAATGGGGCATAGTGGCATGTGCCTGTAATCCCAGTTGCTCAGGAAGCTGAGTTGGGAGGATTCCTTGCACTCAGGAGGTGGAGGCTGCAGTGAGCCATGACTGTGCCATTGCATTCCCCATTTGAACAGACATTTCACCAAAGAAGATATCTGGATGGCAAATAGGCACGTAAAAAATGTTCAACATCATTAGTTTCTGGGAAATACAATGTAGAGCTATGAGATATCATGACATTAGAATGGCTATAATAGGGCGGGTATGGGCCTATAATTCCAGCACTTTGGGAGGCTGAGATAGGACACTTGCTTGAGGCCAGTAGTCCGAGATCAGCCTGGGCAACATAGAGAGACCCCCATCTCTACAAAAACAAAATTAGCCAGGTTTGGTAGTACATGACTGTAGTCCTAGCTACTTTCGAGGCTGAGAAAGGAGGATTGCCTGGGCCCTGGAGTTGGAAGCTGCAGTAAGCCATGATTGTACCATTGACCTTCAGCTTGGGCAATAGAGCAAGAGCCTTTTTTTTTTTTTTTTTTTTTTTTTTTTTTTTTAAAGAATGGCTATAATAAACTGGAGTGACTAAAACTCTCATACATTGCTGGAGGGAGTGAAAAAAATGGTACAGCCACTCTGGAAAACAGTATGGTAGCTTCTTATAAAGTTAAACATATACTTACCTATACTCTATCAATCCTACTTCTACATATTAATTCTAAAATAATTAAAACTTCTCTTCACACCAAAATTTAATGGCTACATTCATGTACACATGTACATGAATGCTTGTAGTAGCATCTATTTGTAATTGCCCAAACTTGAAAACAACCCAAATGGCCCTCAATTGGTGAGAGGATAAACAATGTGTCCATTGTACGTTGATACAATGAAATGCTACTCAGCACCAAAAACAGAACAATTGGTCACACAACAATTTGGGTAAATCTATGCTAAGTGATAGAAGCGTACATTGATACAATGAAATGCTACTCAGCACCAAAAACAGAACAATTGGTCACACAACAATTTGGGTAAATCTATGCTAAGTGATAGAAGCAAGTCTCAAAGTTACTCATTGTTTGATTCCATTTGTATGGCTTCTGGAAAAGGCAAAGCAATCGGAACAGAGATCTGATCGACGGTTGCCAGGGATTAAGGGTAGGGGCAGGACTGGAGTACAAAGGGGATGCACAAGGCAGGACTTTTTTTTCTGGAGAAATGGAGAGCCACTGAAGGTTTATATAAGAAAGAGTAGGTGTATGTTACTAGTCACCCCGATGAAACAGGAAGGTTGCCTGACCAGTGTAGCAGAGATGATGATGGAAAACGTGGACAAATTTTTGAAATATATAGAATGGTGAATCAACACGACTGGTTATTACTTACATGCAAGTATGCAAGAGGCAGAGGAAGGGGTCAGAGGTGATGTTCAGGTTTCTGGTTGCATCTATTAGATGGATTATGGATAGTGGTGCAATTCACAGAGTCTGAAAGCACAGGAAGACTACTTCTGAGGTTGAGATGAGGGGAAGTAGGTCAGTGATATCTCTTACCTGATTTTTGCATGTCTCACGATAAAGAACCAATGCTGATTTAGTGAAGTTTATAGAGAGAAAATGTCCTAAAATCATGACATTGAATCTACTTTTCCAAAAACAAAACCAAACAAATAAGCCACAATATACAAAAACAAAATCAACACAAACCTAAGTTTCCTGACTTATTTTCTCTCTTCATAATTTCATACTTCATTTGTTTCCAAACTTTCATCATCTCTTGGCTATTTTTTTCGGTCTTGTTTCTTAAGTGTAGCATATTTTCTTTAAACTCCAAAATATGGTTTCTACAATTAATTAATTGATTATCTGCAATGAAAACATATGTGTATATATTCGTACATGTAGCAATGGTGTCACACAATTTTCTATAATAGATAAGAATGTAAAATGCAAGTTTCAATATAGTTGTATATAGTACTATGTATGCAGATATTATAGGTATATATATATATATATATATATATATATACAGTGCTACATACATATAATATGTGCATAGGTACAATTATAAAAGACTGGAAAGAAAGAACAAAATGTTAAAAATGGTGATACGAGAAAGGTGAGATTATCAATGATTTTTTGCTTTATTACACTGTGCTCTTCCTTGTTTTCCAAATTTTTTATGGTGTGCATATATCAGATTTGAGTGTAACCCTATTAATCCCCCAAATGTACTTCAAAGAAATTACCTGAAGAAAATTATGAAGAATATATGCACAGATTTGAACTAAGGATATTTAACATAGGCAGTAGTATTTAGCATTATTTTTTTAAATTGGAAACAACCAAAGTGCCCAACCGTAGGAAATTTGCTAAATAAATTACAGAATACTCTTTTAAGAGTTCTGTTGGCTTTAATGTCAAATCATGTATAATTAAATCCCAGTTTTTCTGCTTAATATTTGTGTTACCTGGGGAAAATTACTTAATTTTTGTTAGCCTCTGCTCCTTCTGGTGTAAATGCATACATAAAAAACCCTGCCTCAGAGATGTTGTGAAGACGTAATGATGATGGTGCAACTAAACTGAAGTTGCAGGATACAAAATCAACAGTAGAGTTTCTATCCACTAATAACAAACTATCCAGGAAAGAAATCAATCAAACTACCCCGTTTACAATGGCAACAATAAAATACTCAGGAATGAAGTTAGCCAAGGAGGTGAAAGAACTGCACACTGAAAACTATATAATCTGGGTGAAAGAAATTGAAGACACAAATAAATGGAAAGATATCACATGTTCATGGATTAGAAGAATATTATCAAAACATCTATACTACACAAAGCAATCTACAGATTCAATGCAATCCCTATAAAAATTCCAATTACTTTTTTCACAGAAACAGAAAAAGAAATCGTGAAATTCGTATGGAACCGCAAAAGACCCCAAAAAGCCAAAGCAATCTTGAATGAAAAGAACAAAGCTGAAGGCATCACACTACTTGACTTCAAAATACATTGCAAAGCTATGGTAATTGAAATAGCATGGTATTGGCATAATAACAGACACATACACCAATGGAACAAAATAGGGAACCTAGAAATAAATTCACACATTTAGAGTAATCTTTGACAAAGTCTCCAAGAATATACACTATGGAAAGGACAGTGTCTTCAATAAAAGGGTGTTGGGAAAACTAGATATCCACATGCAGAAGAATGAAATTAGATTCTTATTTCAACCCATGTATAAAATTAACTAAAAATGGTTGAAAGACTTAAGTGTAAGACCTGAAACTGTAGGATTACTAGAAGAAAACAATAGGAAAAAGCTTCATGACCTTGGTCTGAGCAATGATTTTTCAGATATGACTCCAAAATCACAGACAAAAGCCAAAATAAATAAATGGGATTACGTCAAGTTAAACAAGCTTATGCCCAGAAAAGTAAACAATTAACAGAGTGAAGAGACAACCTGGATTGAAAATATTTCAACCCAAGAGACAATATATGGGTTGAAATTTCTCCAGTGGAAGAAAATATTTGCAAACCATACATCTGATAAGAGATTAATATCCAAAATACATAAGAAACTCCAACAGTCAAAAGCAAAAAAAAATTTGTTTAATTAGCAAAAGATTCAAATAGATATTGTCAAAACAAGACATGTAAATGGCCAAGTATATAAAAAAGTGCTTAATACCACTAATCATCAAGGAAATGCAAATTAAAACAATGAGGTACCACCTCACACCTGTTATAATGGCTATTATCGAAGACCAAAGGTGAGAATATGGAGAGAAGGAAACTCTTGTACATTGTTGGCAGGAATATAAATTAGTGTAGCCATTATGGAACACAGTATGGAGGCTCTTTAAAAAATTAAAAATAGGGCCAGACATGGTGGCTCACACCTGTAATCCCAGAACTTTGGGAGGCTGAGGCAGGCGGATCATCTGAGGTCAGGAGTTCGAGACCAGCCTGGTTAACATGGTGAAACCCCATCTCTACTAAAAATACAAAAAAGATCTGAGCATGGTGTTGCATGCCTGTAATCCCAGCTACTCAGTAGGCTGAGGCAGGAGAATCACTTGAGCCCAGGAGGTGGATGTTGCAGTGGGCTGAGATTTTTTAGTTGTCTCAAAAAAAAAAAAATTAAAAATAGAACTACTGCATAATGCAGCAATCCCACTGTTGGGTATGTATTCAAAGGAAATAAAGTCAGCATGTTGGCTGGATACGATGGCTTATATCTGTAAACCCAGCAATTTGGGAAGTCAAGGCGAGAGAATCACTTGAGCCCAGGAGTTCAAGGCTGCAGTGGTGCCATGATCGAACTGCTGCACTCCAGCCTTGGCAACAGAGCAAGACCCTGTCTCTTAAAAAAAAAAAAATGGTGATACATTTGGGTTGAAACATTTGCTATTTTTTCACTCATCTGTTTTGTCTGAACAAGACCACACAAGTGGATAGTCTGTGGCAAAAATTGGATAATTCCTCTCCCCAGCTCAAAACCCTCCAAAATATTTCTCATCACACTTGGTAAAATAACCGAAGTCCTTACCATGACTCACAAAGTCCTGTCTGATCAGTCCTTGAGTTCCTCCCTGGTCTCATTTCCTGCCCTTCCTACCTCACTCTGAGGGAGCCCAGCATCAGCCACACCGGCCTCCTTACTGTTCCTCACAGGAACCAAACACTCTCCTACCTTAGGGGTTTGGCTTTTGAGCACTGAATGCTCTTCCACCATATCCTTTCCTTGTTTTATCACATATCCTGTTATGGTAGGAGCTCCCTAATTTCATTCAGTTTCCTGCTAAGAAAGCCCACCTTGCCATCCTTTGTAAGATAGCACACCCTTGTCCTTCCCTTATTCTTTTTTAAAAAAATCACCTATCACCACCTCACTTCATATTGTGTATTGACTGCTTTTATGTTTCACTCCAGAGCTTTCTAGAATGTAAGCTTGAGAGCAGCAAGAACTTTTTACTACTCAATTCCAACTATCTGAAACAGTGACTTGCTGATAGCTTTTATACAAATATATGCTTAATGAAGAAATAAATTAATGAAATGAATGGACTTGTCAGTATAAGAACTGATTTTAGTGGTTCTTAAACTAAACCGTGCTTTAATCAAAAGAGCTGCAACTATCCAGATAAGCCTTGAATATTCATATTGTAAATTCTATTTGAAGATGCTTACAAACTTTAGAGGGAAATATCATTTAAGCTCATGTTATTAGGGTTTCCCAGGTAATGTTCTCTTTGCATTGTTCTGAGTTGATATATCATGGGTGATGCAACCTATGTGGGTTTCTACGTTGTAGGCCAGTCCCTGAGGGATCAATTTGGTAAACATGGAAAGAGAAAGTTTTCCCTAGAGGAAGCAGTATTTACAGCAACAACCATAGAGAAATGTTAAAGGATATAATCTTTAATCTTAGATCTACTTCTTGTACATTCTTCCCTGATAATTCATTCATCAGTATTCTATTTAAAATATTGATATTACTTGCATATATACTCAGGTATTTAGTGAAGAAGAAATGTTATAACATTATTTTGCAAAGGTTTGAAATAAACAATAATTAGATGCTTTGAGTCAATTGGGCATGTCTGTAATGAAATTGTGAAAACAAACACCAGTTCAAGTGTGCAATGGGTGAATGCAACTTCTGCCCATTAAAAATAGGTTCCAGGCTAGATCCCAAGTGCCACTTATCTGTGCCTCTCACAGCAATGCTTCAAGGCATTGTGTTCCAGCAGAAATAAAATGCAAACCGCATCTGTAATTTATTTTTCTAGTAGTCACATTTTAAAAGGTGAAAAGAAACAAATGAAACAAGTGAAACTAAACAATGTATTTTATTTAATACAATATATCCACAATGTTGTTTCAACATGAAAGTGAACAATGGGCTATTTTATATTTTTGTACTAAATATTCTAAGTCCTGAATTTTACACTCACAGCACATCTCAATTCAGATGCTAAATTTTAATAATTATAGTAAAATTAAATCCTACCAAAACAGTACAATTTTGCTTAATGGAGAAATATTTTGCACAATTTCAGTTATTAAATGTAGACTCAAACTAGTTAAAATAAAATTAAAAATGCAGTTTCTCAGTTGCACTCACTGGGTGCATTTCAGGTGCTTCCAAGCCACCTGACTACCATGCTTGTTGGCATAAATCTCCAGTATCAGCTGTGGGCTCTCAGGCCTCACCCTAGAATCAGATTGTGCATTTTAATAAGATTCCCAGGTGACTACTCTGCACATTAAAATTTGAGAAGCACTGTTACAGACCACTTTCATGGTTTGCTCTTTATCATCATGGATATTACCATAGTTCAAGCTTTATTGCCTTTAGCTGCACTATTATAATTGCCTCTTGATTGGTCTCTCACCTCCAATCCTGATTAATCTTCTGGAAACACTGCTCAAAGACAATAAATGGTTCCCTGAGTGCTTACTTGCCTTGGTCTACCAGGTCCTCTACAACATGGCCATGAATGTGACTTGACCTAATTTCATTGACTAAACACCTCCAGTAACAAGAAGCATGCTGAGATTTCCATTCTTCCGTTAAATACTTGTCATGTGCTATGTGGTAGGTAAATAAACATGAATAAAATCTGGTTCTTGCTCTAAATTAAATTGATATAAATAAAACCTGGTTCCTAACAATCAGGCTGCAAGGGATGTGGGAATGTATTTAAACATTACTAATTATAATATATTGTTAAAATAGAATTATCCTCAAAGTGCCACAGGCACAGGAAGGCAGGAATGATTCATTCTTAAGGAGAACTGAGGAGTAGGAGAGGGAAGTGGAGAAGGTTTCAGAGAAGAGAGAAGAC